GCCGAGCATGAGTCAGCTAAAGGAGTTACATCTGGAAGACATTGCATTGACCCATTTCAGTCCCGAGCCCCTTAAACTTTTCCTAGAGAATGTTGCAGGCACAGGCCAGTCCTTGGTTCTAGAGGACTGTGGGATGGTAGACTCCCAACTCAATGTCATCATGCCTGCCCTGAGCTGCTGCTGCCAGCTCACAACCCGTGGGAACTTCTTCTCCTGGGCCACCCTGGAGCACCTGCTGCACCACACTGCCAGGCTGAGCAAGTTAAGCCTGGAGGTCTACTCTGCCCCTCTGGAGAGTTATGATGCCCAGGAAAGTTCTGGATTCCAGGAAGTATTACCAATTTCAGGCTGAGCTGACAGAGATACTGAGGGGCATAAGGAAGCCCAAGAAGATTGCGTTCAGTCCCACCCCCAGCCCTTACTATGTCAACACTGAAGATGATCCTGTGGTCTAGATCCCAGTGGGTGCTGGCATTGACCCCTGGCCTGGTGGAGTGGATATATCAAAGGCTTTCTTCTGTGACCTTGCAAACTGAAGGACCTGGGTGCATCATAACCAGAGCATCCACCAATTCTCTCAGACACCTGCTGTGTGCATGGAAAAAGGAAAGGTGATACAGCAGATGGTAGGACTGGAGGTGAATGATGACTTGGGGACGTGATGGGACTATCAGGGACATGCATCCTATATTGTCAGACATAGGGGAAACCGAATTTCTAAAGTGTGACACATCTTTGAGAAATGAAACAGTTAACTCTGCATGGATAGTTGTTAAGAGTATTTCATGGGCTGGTGAAAAGAATGTGTATTCAGTTTTGTTAGGATGAATTGTTCTGTAAATGTTTGTCAAAGCCAATTGTTAAATGGTTAAGTTTAAGTGTAAAATTTCTTTGCTTAGCTTCTTATTGGAGGATCTATCCAACACTGTCAAAGGAGTGTTAAAATCTCCGACTATTATGGTGCTGGAGGAAATCAAGTTGCTCATGTCTATTAGAGTCTCTCTTATAAATTGAGGCACGTTTTGGTTGGGTGCATAAATGTTAATAATTGAAATCTCATCAGGTTGAATGTTACCCTTAACAAATATGAAGGGACCATCCTTATCTTTCCTTACTTGTGTTGGTTTAAAGCCTATTGTACTTGCAAATAAAATTGCAATGCCTGCTTTTTTCTGATTTCAAAAAAAAAAAAATTGGTTAATATTAAATTACTTGTATCCTAGTTAAATACAGACCACCCCAAAATATCTCTAAATGTCTTCTAAAATTTTTAAAATTGCTTTGTAATTTTCTCCATGAAAATAGAATTTTTTACAACCAAAACATAACATTGAGATACAGAATATAATTTTCTTTTGTAAGAATTTTCTAAACAGTTTCAAAGAATGATAGAATCTCAGTTTTAAAAAGCTCAGATCAAATTTTTCAAACATCTTGCCTCATTTCACTGAAGAAACTAAATTTTAGAAATATGTTATCAACAATGCAATAAAAGTGTTTAATGCATGCATCTATTATGAGAAAGAAAAATCTCTAACAAAGCTTTAGCTTTTTTTTTTTTTTTTTTTTTGCAGTTTTTGGCCAGGGCTATAGTTTTCTAAGAAGTAAAATCACCAGTCAATATAGATTAACCATAGGACAATGAACTAGGGCCATCTACATACACATGACTACTATTTGTGTCAAGCTTAAATCCATCAATTCCAACAATAGACTATTCAAACTGCCTCCTTTCACCGTAGTCCCTCAATTGGGCAAACAATTCATTTATCAAACAAGTGTGTATTTACAAGACTTGGTTAAGGTCCTTAGCTGACTGTTTCCACTAACCCTAAACTATTATCCTGAACTTTGCCCAATCTCAGGTCACTGCACTGAAAGATATCTTAAACCTCTCAAGGTTAGACTCTGAACTCTACAATATCTGCTCATAACCTTTACCTTATGAAGTCTGCAAAGACTCCATCCATCAAGGTTGTGCTCTCCCTTATGGTATTAAGCAATAAACTTAAGTTCTGTTTTATCAACAGGCTATTCTGGCCTTCTGTTGTGAAGTCAACACTCAACAGAAGGCAGAACCCCATTCCATTTTAAATGCTTTCTTATCAGCACTCCTTTAAAATACACCTTCTTGTATGCCTTTACTAGACTATAGGTAAAATTAAATATACCAGGAGATTAGACCATTATAGAAAAGATAAATATAAACCAGCAATTGAAGGGGCTAAATGAATCTCACACTAAATTCCATATGAGACTTAAAACTATACTTCATTATAGCCATAGTTAAATCTGAACTGGGTTAATTATATACTTCAAAATGGTCTTAAAGTGTCCCAGAAATCCAGATGTAGAAAGAAAAGAAAAACAAAACAAAAAAACCCCTTTGCAATGCCAAAATTTATTCTGGCACCTGAGCAGATTTTCTACAAATTTATTTTTCCATAAATTTATGTACTCTAATGTTACATATCAAATTTGAATATATGAATACAGTTAATCTTTAAAGAATAGCCTACTAAAAGCTATTTAAAAATGATTTAATCCTGTATAAATATAAAAATTATATATTATAAAATTGGTCATTTTGACATCACAATTTACTTACACACATTACCAACTTTACTAGATTTTAGCTATATTTGTCCAATTTTTAAAGTATAGAATGAATATTTATTCTAATTCTGCCTTATTTTAGTTCAGTTTCTTTCCATGCATCACATTTTTCCTTAGAAAAGATTAAACCAGATAAAAATCTAATTGAACAAAACATAATAAGGAATCAAAGATCAACTTTTTAAAAAGCCGATGCCTTTTACACAAGAATTTACTTCATCATATTCAAATATGAGACCATTATGTGTTTGTATACATGTATGTGTAATTATATGTGTGCACATATATGTATGTGTGTGTGTATAAGTTGAATATCTCTTATTCAAAATGCTCAGGACCAGAAGTGTTTTGGACTTCAGATTCTTTTGGATTTTGAATTATTTGCATATATATACCAGTTGAGCATCCCTAATCCAAAAATCTAAAACCCAAGATGTTCCAACATCTGCCTTTAAGCATACTGTGGGTGCTTAGAAAGTTTTGGATGTTAGATTTTCAGATGAGAGATACCCAACATGCATACACATATCTCCCCAGGTAAGAAAAATGCATGCAACATAAGATTTCAACTTTTTTTCATAGTTTTCAACACCAGCCATCTCAACTATTACTGTCACTTCTCATAGAAGTTCTACTAACAATGTGACATTTTTGTGGTTACTGCTACTGATGACAGCAATAGAGGAAATAACATGGAGTTTAAAAAAAAAAAACAGACTTTACATCCTGAATTCTTTATTCTTACTTAGGGGAAATAATCTCACAAAGCCTTAGTGTGCCTTATCTGAAAAAGGAAGATAAATCAATCTACTTGACACACCTGCTGTGAAAATTCAAGAGAACTGACATATAGGGTACCAGTCTGCTATCTGCCATATAAGGATGTCTATAAAGTTCATGTGCAAATTTAAATGGTACACTATTTTAAATTGCACACGAACTTTATGGACATTCTGTATACACTACATCCTCCATAAATGTTTGTTACCCATTGCGCATATTAGTTCCCTATAATTACGGGCCTAAGGATCTACAAGATATTATAGTACTTCCTAAATAGCTAAAGAAATATTAATTATGCAGCAAAATCTTTAAGGTTTATATTCTTTCAACCAATAATTCTACTTCTGGGAAAGTAGACAGAGGAAATGATTAGAGATAATCAGCAAATATTTATGTACAAAGATATTTTTCAAAGCTTTTTTTTTTTTTTTGGCCAGGGCTGGGTTTGAACCCATCACCTCTGGCATATGGGACTGGTGTCCTACTCCTTTGAGCCACAGGCGCCACCCTCAAAGCTTATTTTTCATATCAAAAAACTGGAACCAACCTAAGTATCCAAATGCTATGCTTTATCTATATGGTTGCTATTAAATAAACTATTAAAATATTCATAAAGGCTTAAAGGCAGCCAAAAATGCTCACAAAACTTAAAACAGCCTACAGACCTCTACCTGACCATGTCATCAATTACATTCATGTGTATCAATGTACACACACATATACAAATGCAGAAGAAAACTATTTGAAGGAAATGTTTCAAAATATTAACAATGACTATCTTTAGACAAAGGAAAAACATAAATTTTTATTGTTTTATTTTTCATGTTTTATTTTATTTACCCATTTTCTACTCTATACGAGAATCAACTTGATGCCCAGAAAACATAAAATTAAAATTCCATTCAATTCTGTATGTTACTGAGTACGTTCTAATGTTTTAATTATATTCCATCTAACTTCCAAAAAGATTTGAAATAGTTGGCAAAAATACCTACAACGGACTAAAATAAAGAGATGAAGAAATGGGGACATTCATAAAAATAAGGAAAAACTTGCAAGATCTCAATGCACATAATGCACATGCATAGGTATACATGCATACATGTTTATACGTACTCATCTGTAGACACCAGTATGTCAGACAAAGAACTATTACACATACTGAGATCTTCAGAAAATTCCCCCACATTCTCACAAAGGGTATATTGCAGGTGTAGTAAACATTGTTTTAAACTGTACATTGGGAATGCTATCTAGGTGAAATAAATAAATCACAGTTATGTGATTAGAAACACAGGAGGCAGATTAAAAGTTAAGGAATCAAAGCCTGTTGTAGGATAAGTGGCTTGAGCATGATAAGCAACCCAAGAAACACTTTCTAGAAATGCACAAAGATAGAGAAAGATAAATGAGGTTTAGGTGATTTTCCCATATATTTTGCCACTTTATTCATGTGGCTTCGAAGAAAAAAATCAATTAGAATACTAAATGTGTACTTTAATTTCTACATGTGAAGTACATCAAGGAAATAAACATCAGCAAAAATAAACTATCCTGTTAACAAAATCTATCAGCTATACTGTATTCAGCACATCACTTACCTTCACTGACAGCATGGGGCTTAACAATGCAGCAAGTACAGTTGGTAAATTTAGCAGTATTTGCTGGCCCACAACCGCCGCTCGAAGGAAAAAAGAACTCAATTTCCTAAAGACAAAGAGAAATGACTTTGACATACACGATCTCTTCTCTTGAACTCAAAAGATGTTTCTGTGAAAGGGGAAGAACTATGCAATTACTTTTGAAGTTTCACCTTTTGTTTCAAATTTTCTAAAAATGAGTTTTACAAAGACTGATTTACTGAACTCTGTTTCAAGACTTAGAAGAGCGTGCAAAGAAGTGTTAATTGAAGTAATGGGAGTATGTTATTTTGTCCCAGGATTATAACTGACAAGGTCTTCACAAATTTTGACTATTGGAAGTAACCAGCACCAAAGCTATTTTCCTCAATTAGCTCATGAGACACAGATCTAATTTTAAATTTTTCCTTTAAAAAGTAGAATAGAATCAAAAACTAGGAAATCTTTATAGAAACAGAGACTGATATTCAAGAATCTGGAAACTCTAGTTAGTTAAAACTAACTTAGTCCTAGCATAAAAATCAAATAAAAGGAACCATATTTTATAGCCAGATTCAGACTGTGTTATTTGCTCTGCAAATGGCTCATTAAAATGACAATCCAGCAATTTGAATTAGGCTGAAAGGTGGTCATGCTAATCATTGCTTTTAATTGTTCAGACAAATGCTTTCCTGCCTCTAAGTTTTCAACTACTATTATTTCTACTGTTCCCTAAACCGGCAATCCCAGGTTATGAATGAAGTAGGTTCTGTAGGTTTGTTCTTAAGTTGAATTTGTACATTAGATGGAACAGGTACATTTGCCTATTACCTATAATAGGCTTTGTTTGTAAGTCATGCATCAGTTTGTAAGTCCCCATGTTTGTAACTAGGGGACTTAATGCAACAGCCTCCATTCCTGTATGTTACACATAACTCAGATGTTGCTAACTGGAGGACTGCCTGCAAAGCCCTCTTCCCCAAGCTCCCAAGAACCTTACAAGTGTCTAATAGGCTACTTCAAACAACACCTCCTTCAGGAGGCCTTTCCTGATGCCTCACGTCAGCACTCTGTACTCCCCCAAAGTTGTGATTACGCTGGTACTTGTGTAACCACACCAGACCAGTTTAGCTCAACTTTCATGTAACAAAGTTGTGAGTTGTTTTTAAGTTGCCATGGACCCCCCAGTTAAAGGTACTGTAACCTGAGCATGCCCAAAGGAACCAACCATGGAACTATGCTTAAAACCTAAGTCCTCAGACAGAGAGGTAGGATTGAATTAAAAAACTGGACACTGTATGGCAGCCTCCAGGATCCAATCAGAAAGAGCCCTGGCATCATGCCATGGTGTGATCCAGTCAGATCATGCTTCCAGGCATCACCTTATTGTGAGATCCAATCAGATCATGCCTCATTATCCTATGCATATAAAACCCAACCCAGCCTCCAGTTCAGGGAGACAGATTTGAGGGTTTTCTCTTATCTCCCTGCTAGATGACTTGCAATACAGTTTTTCTTTCCTCCGAGGCTGGTGCCATGGTATTGACTTCTGTGCATATCAGGCAGCAAGCCCACAGATGGCTCAGTAGCCTTTTACCTTCTACCAAATTATTCATTTTAAGAAACAAACTAATTTGCATAGCTTTGCAGGCCCCACAACACCTAAACGAATGCCTGGCTCAAAGTAAATACAAATATATTAGTTCCAGGACTCCTGTGCACTCCCAAACTCACAAATACTCAAGTCCTAAAGTCAGCTCTGTAGAACCAGCCTATATGCAAAGTTGGTCCTCCTTCTACATAGGTTTCTCATCTTGCACATACTGTATTTTCAATCCACTTGTGACTGAAAGAGAGCATGGAAGAGTAGCAAACTGGAAAGGGCATGTCCTTTTCTATAATGTCCATTTCTCTGTTCCTTTCACAACAAAACAAATAAAGAGAGGTCTTTATTCTCATCTCTACTTCATCTCCTCCAGTCTCTCTTAAACCAATGCTGTTCATCAAAATCCCTACCCTAACTTATCTACCATTCTGGCTCTTCCTACAACATATTTAACCCCAACCTACTTGGTCTATCCTTAATACAGCAGTCAGAATGAAACTTGTAAAACCTTAGATCCTGGTGACTCCTCAACACAGAACACTCCATGGACTCCATTCCATTTGGAAAGAATGTCAAAGTTCTAGATGTCCTACAAGTCCTTATGAGACCTACCTGCTGGCAATGCCTCTTAGCTAACCTCCTGCCATTTTCCTCCACTTATGTTTCTGCTCCAGCATCACTGGCCTTGCCTACTACTCACTATTTCTTAAAAGTAGCAAATATGTACCCATCTCAGAATCTTTGTATGGATTGTTCCCTTTTTATCTGGATGCTCTTTTCCCAGATATTTGCATCATCTTCTATCTCATTTCTTTCAGAATTCAACCCAGAGTTTGAGAAGGCTTACTGTATATCTTGTCTTTAACAGCATTATGCACTAATATTCAACAAAAAAAATCCCTCCTCTACTCTTTCTCTATTCCCTTCTGCTTCATTTTTTTAGAGCACTTACCACTTTCTATATCTAATGTTTATTATCTGACACCCCCCTCAGAAGAGATTTAAGCTCCTTATCACAGGGGCTTTAGTTTCTTCACTAGCAGCTTCTTTTTTTTTTTTTTTTTTTTTAGAGAGAGAGGGTCTCATTTTGTTGCCCTCGGTAGAGTGCTGTGGCATCACAGCTCACAGCAACCTCCAGCCTCAGCCTCCAGAGTAGCTGAGACTACAGGTGCCCACCACAACGCCTGGCTATTTTTTTTATTGCAGTTTGGTTGGGGTTGGGTTCAAACCCGCCACCCTCAGTATATGGGGCCAGCGCCCTACTCACTGAGCCACAGGCGCCACCCCACACTAGTAGCTTCTTAATAAATATGTTGGAATGACTGGATTCAGATGCATAAGTTCTGCATACTATAAATAAAATCACTGTACCCACATTGTACAAATGAAAAAACAAGACTCAGAAAGCTTGAGTAACAAGCCCTTGTAAGTTAGCAAGTTAGCAAGATTCAAATCCTTATCATTCTGGCTCCAAAGCTCTGTACTTTTTCTAGCATCTGTCCTTACAAAGTGAAAAGCAATGCTAAATTATTCTATTATTAGTTTAACACATTATTTAACCAATTATCTGGCCAATTATTTTTGTGTCGACTTTCCTCTATTTCTTTTCTTGCTCAATTTTTGCAAACGGAAATGCCAGCTTTCCAAGTACCTATTTACACACGCTGAATAAATGTTTATGTAAGACAAAGAGTATAAAGGTTTTACTTAAGCATATCTTCTTAGTGAAAACAAATAATTCTGTTTTAGGGCTTTGTTTTCTTTTTCTCTCTGCCATTTCTGTGCTACCTATCAATCTAGGCTAACATTTGCAATAGCTTTTTTACTAGGTCATATGTTATGGCAACACAAAGTCTTCACACAACAAATGTAAAGTCACACAAAAAAATTCCATTTTCTTTTGCTATTTGAGGGGCTAAAACTTCCTGTATAAATCTCTTTTCCTTCCAGGAGTTCTTACTATTACTCTTGGCTTTTCATATTTCCCTAAATTTCCTAGCAGGAAAGGATAAATATTCAAAACCTTCCAAAAAAAATTAAAAACTCAGACTCAATTTGATAAGCTTTAAATATATAATTTTAAAAATCTTTTAAATAATTATAAAATATATAGTTGTACTGCTTCATAAGTTTTCACCCTAAGATTCATTGTAATCTCACTATATTAATACTTTAATGAAAACAATACAAGTATTATTACATGACTGCCAGTTGTAAGTTCCTTCAAAGCTTTACCCATACATAGTAATTTTAAGTAGATATCATTTGTGTAAATGTCCCAGATGAAAATAGCAAAAAACAACACTTAAACATCTTTCTACATACTCTTCTAATATAAAATAACAAATCTGTCCTCACACAATAATCAAAAAAATTTAAAAATAAATATGAAGTCACATGATCAATACACCACTAGTCACAAAAATCGGAACCTAACCAAATGTCCATTCCCAAAGTCCCTACATTTCCAAAGAAAGAGATTGATTAAATAAACCATGTTAGATACATGCAAGAGAATATTCTGCAGCCATTAAAATGTACTATTATGATACTAATCTGGCAACAGGTAAAATTTAATAGAATATTAAATGGAAAAAAAGAATTGAAATTGATAAAAATTATATAAAATGGTTACTATGAAAACTATATAAATGATGAAAGGAATAAGCTAGAAGGAATATGCTATTAACAGTTAAACTATAAACACTGCTGTAAGGATTATTGCTGACAATTTTTTTTTGAGACAGAGTCTCACTCTGTTGCCCCAGGCTAGAGCATCATAGCCTCAGCCTAGCTCACAGCAACATCAGACTCCTGGGTTCAAGCAATCCTCTTACCTCAGCCTCCTAAGTAGCTGGGATTACAAGTGCATGCATGACACAATGCCCAGCTAATTTTTCTATTTTTTTTTTCAGTAGAGATGAGGTCTTACTCTTGTTCAGGCTGATTGTAAACTCCTGAGCTCAAGTGATCCTCCCACTTTGGCCTTCCAGAGTGCTAAGGATTAAAGGCATGAGCAACAAATTTTCTTTTCTACACTTTCTTAATTCTCTGAAGGGTGTTTCTATTACTTTCATGTTCTAAACGACTGTAATGTTTAAATCAGGGTAGGCTGCATGCAGCTTCCAACATACACATGGAGAGAGGCAGTTAAGCTAAAGAGCTCTGGAGCCTGAGTGGCTAGGCTCAAGTCCTCATGTGGGCATGATACTTACACTTTTTGAGTCTCAGTTTCTACAAGAGTCAATCAGGGTGTTGTAAGTGATCACAGAGGATACTGTGGGAATTAAATAGGACACTAAAATGGTTAGAGCCGTGCCTGCAACCTAGAGAGCCTTCAGTAATGTTTGGTGTGTTGTCATTTTTAATTCTAATCCTTTCTGAACCTGGATCTACATCTCAGAGATGTGAAGATCCATTGGGCATCTTTAAGGAATTCCTAGTCTACCAGGATAGACATAAAAACAAGCACTTTCGAACATGCTAAAGGAGAACAGTATGCAACGGGTACTAAGAAAGCAACAAGGAAGAACCTCACTCAGTTCCCACCCAGCTCCCACCCACCATGGAAGAATTGCTAATAGTTGAGCAGAGCTGGATTTTTTCTCCTACAGATATAGAGAGAGATAATCTGGCATACATTAAACTGCACACATTTAAAGTACACAATTTGTCAAGTTTTGAAATATGTTCACTTCCATGAAAACATCACCACAATCAAGATAAGAAGCATGTATGGCACCCCTGACCCCCTTTGGAAATGTCTTTCTTCTGCCTCTCCCTACTTTTCTCTTTTCCCTGTAACCACTTATATGCTTTGAATGATTATAAATTATTTCTATAATTTTATATAAATAGAATCATATGGTATGTGCTTCTTCATACAGCAAAATCATTTTGAGATCATTCCTATAATGTACACAAATGTCACTACTTCATTCCTTTTTATGCCAAAGTGTATTTCACATATGGATAGAGCATGTTTTGTTTTTCATTCACCTACTGAATATGTGGCTTATTTCTAGTTTGGGGGTATTACAAATAAAACCATATGAACATTCATGTATAATTCTTCTTTGGATTGATACTTGCTTTCATTCTCTTGGGTAAATACTTGGGAATGGAATGGCTGCACCATTGGGTGGATGTATAACATATTAGGAAACTGCCAAATTGTTTTCCAAAGTGGCTGTACCATTTTAATTTCCCACCAGCAGTGTAGGATAGTTCTGGTTCCTCCTCATTTTTTGGCATTTGGTATGGTCAATCTTTTAAGTTTCAGCCATTCTAATAAGTATGTAGTGGTATCTCATTGTGGTTTTAATGTGCCTTTCCCCAATGTCTAATGGTGCTGGATATTTTGCCAATTTCTAAATTAGGTGTTTGTTAAGTGTAAAAATGGTATGAAGAGAGATAAATATAGGCACACCTTATTTTATTTTGTTTTGTTTAATGGTACTTTGCAGATAACATGTTTCACAAACAGCATCAGGACCATTTTTTCCACTAGCACGTACACGCTTCACGTCTCTGTGATATTTTGCTAATTTTCATATATTTCAAATGTCTTCGTTATTATTATATGTGTTGCAGCAAGCAGTGATTAGTGATCGTTAAAGTCACTTTTGTAGTTGTTCTGTAGTGGCACAAACTGGACCCATATAAGAGCAAACTTAGTACATGTTGGGCGGGTTCTGACTGCTTCACCCACTAGCTATTCCCCTATCTCTTTCCCTCTCTTAGGGCTCCTATTCCCTGAGACAAAACAATATTAAAGTAAAGCCAATTAATAAGTCTAAGTGTTCAAGTGAAAGGAAAGGCACAATTTTTTCACTCTAAGTCACAAGCTAGAAATGATTAAGCTCAGTGAGAAAAGCATGTCAAAAGCCAACAGGGGCTGAAAGCAAGGCTTCTTGGGTCAAACAGCTAAGTTGTGAATGCATAGGCCAAGTTCTTAAAGGAAATGAAAAGTGCTACTTCAGTGAACACTGAAACTATAAGAGAATGAAACAGCCTGATGGCTAATCTGGAGAAAATTTTAGTGGTCTGGATAGAAGATCAAACCAGCCACAGTGTTCCCTTCGGCCCAGACCATAAAGACCTTCAGCATATTTTGTTCAGTTCTTTCTAGGTATCATTTTGTTTTTTACCACATGAATGGAAATCTCTCCTAAAATTACATGTTCTGATTGTCTTAAGAATACCAAAAATACTATTTATTTTTATATATTGACATTATATATCCAGTACATTTAACAAAACTAAAACAGAATTAAAATATTTTTAAAACACCTTACTCTGGCAGCAGAAGCAAAAGAATCAGGGCCATGCGCTGCATTTCTTATGCCATCTGTTCCAAAGAGGGCTCTAATGCTTCCAGAAGCATCTGCGCGTGCCACCCCAGAGTTTGCAGGTCCAAGTAGTCTTTTCCATTCACAGATAGCATCATCTTTTAAAATCTCCATGGCAATAACAGGACCACTTGTAATAAACTGGATTAGCTCACTACAAAACAGGGAAAAGATTACTTTGCTTCTTTTTTCTGTCAACCTAGATATCTCTTTTAACAATAAGGATATTTTAAATTTGAATATTTCAACACAGACCTTAATGTTATGATCATAGAACTGCTGCATCACAGCTCACAGCAACCTCAAACTCTTGGGCTTAAGCAATTCTCTTGCCTCAGCCTCCCAAGTAGCTGGGACTACAGGCACCCACCACAAGGCCCAGCTATTTGTTTGTTATAGTTTTCATTGTTGTTTGGCAGACTCAGGCTGGGTTCGAACCTGCCAGCTCCGGTGTATGTGGCTGGCACCCTAGCCGCTCAGCTACAGGCACTGAGCCATAAAATGCATTTTGTTGATCTAGGTTTGTCGAATTTCTCTGTAAAAATACAGAAGATTTCCCTTTTTATTTTCATGTAGTTTATCACTGCAGTCACATACAATTTCATAACAGAGAAATTGATGAGAGTGATGAATGTCTCATAAAATATTGTGAGAATTTATTCAATTCTTTTTATATAGAACTATGACAATTCAAAGACTGACAAAGAATGCTAAATCAATAAACTATGAATTAGTTTAGTAATAAAGAACAAAAGAATAAACAGGCCATCAAGAAATATTCTTTCATTAGTGTGAAGCTACTCTGAGCAATTCCTATCTTAAATTACTAAAGCATCATTGCAGGTTCTTAATTAAAAATCCAACACTGAGTCATAGTCCCCCAAGGTATTAAAAAAAAAAAACAATACTTCATTTTATTTTTCCACTTCTATATGTGTATAGGGAAGCAATGATAAATTTAATTTTGAAATAAGTGATATCCTTCCCCCACTGTGTTAAGCAGGAACAAAGTACTTCTCAAAGTAAGCCCATCTTTCTCTCTCATTCAAAGTAGAGAAAGAACAGGCCCCTCCTGGAGGAAGGAGCATGGTGCGTCAGGCCCTTTTGTGCCTCTTACGACTATTTTTCACAGTTCCCTCACTTACACCCCATGTTATATGAGCTAATTCCCTTCAGTACTTCATTTTTAAATCACTACAGTTCAGTTAGAAGAATAATTCTAAGAAACAGCATGTACAAAGAAGTATTCATACCTCTACCCTAAGAGACCCACGAGGACCTCTGCATACATGAAGTCAGACAATTAAGTTCACAAACTCATCCTAGTAAAAGTGCTTTGTACCTCAGTGCTAAATATCACTATAGTCACCTTCAAAGTACTCCCCTTGGGAAGCTGGCACCAACACCAGTGCCTAGTCCACCCTTCAAAGCAATTTTTCTAGGATGAGTTCATGAGCTCTGATGGCCATTCCAGAAAAAGAGGTCCAAAAATTACTTTGAAGTGTGGACTAGGTGCCAGTATTGATGCACAGCTTCCCAAGGGAAGTACCCTGAAGGTAATTGTATTCAGCAATAAGATACGTAGCACTTTTTCCAGGATATGTTCTTGAACTTAATTGTCCAACGTTATACATTCTGCTAGGCCTTAGTTGCCAGAACAAACAAAAGACACTGACCAACCATTAGATTTAAGGAGCCCGAATCCAGGGAAAAAACTAAATATCAAAATTTGTGCTATGAAGTAAGATTCCTCCTTCAAGAAATTTATAATCTAATGTCCTATTAATATATAATTCTCAAAACACAGAGTAGAATAAGCCTATATATGGTGAGTGTGGCATGTCATACAGGAAATGGTATGCCTGATCATAAGAACTGCTTCATGAAATGATTTCCAAATACTTTAGCTAGTCTTTTGTTGTAATTTTCCCAATACATGGAAACTAGTTAATTCATCCATTTAATAAAATTTGCTGCATAGGAATTACATATAAGACATTAAAGTGAGGGCAGCGCCTGTGGCTCAAAAGAGTAGGGCACTGGCTCCATATACCAGAGGTGGTGGGTTCAAACCCAGCCCCATGCAAAAAAAAACTAGAAAAAAAAAAAAGACGTTAAAGTGAGAGGTGTGATTCCTTGCTACAAACATATACAAAGACTATAATGAACAATCATTTCTACCAATTTTCTAGAAAATTTTATTTGCCTATTCTAATAAGGCTTGGGAACATAATAACCTATAACATACATAATAGGGGGTATATGGCATACGGCACATCTTCTAGGTTAATGACTCAACTACAAGTCTGACTTACCTTACAAATGCAAACAATGTAACCTAATCGTATGTACCCTCATATTAATCCAAAATTTATAAAAACAAAAATAATATTCTTATACAAAACATTAGGAAAAACCCATTGCTTTGTGAAGATACCAAATGGCACATCCATTGTAGCAGTTTGGCTAATATAACATTTTTCTTTCTTAGAAATGTAAATATTCCTTTGTCTCTCAATAGTAACATGAAGATGTACAATATTCAATTAAATTTGATTATATTCCAAATATTTACAATGTAGATTCAGTTTTAACATATTATTTGCTTTATTTCAAGAAACAAAATGTATACAGAAGTATTTAGCTGAAATATAAGAGTTCTATGAATATTTTTATATATACAAGATAATCAAAATAGAGCTTAAAAGCACAATAAAACATTCAACATAAAATACAATTTTCACTCCATTTTCAAGCCACTGAAATCTGAATAGAGTGTCAGCTTCTTTATAATTTAATCAAATTACCCTATTCTTTACTGATTAAAGTTTAAGATATTTAATAATGATATAGAAGAATTCTTAACTAATAAAAGAAAAAAGAATTCTTAGAAAAGAATTCTGTGTAGTTGCAAGAGGTTGCCATGGTCCTTTTGAGAGAATAGTCACCCGTAACAAATTTTTGAATTTATCTGTAAAAATGTATCTCTGTAGTTTTCTAGGATAGCTTCCTTTGTATGTCACTACCCCTCCAAATTAAGTACTTACTTATAGAAGGGCCTTGATTGGTGGTCTGCATGAAAATCCATTGCTTCTTTCCTATAAAATGATCAAAATGACAATAGTTAAGAAGTACATAAGAAAATAATTATCATTTAGCTTATGATAAAATCCCTTAAATTTATATTTATTTCATCTGCTTGTGAATTAATAATTTTTCACTAAATATTCTGTCAGATGCCTCCCTTTCTGAAAATATTGTGAGTAGAGGCACATATACTTTCCTACTCATATAATACATCATCTATCTTTCTTTTCACCAACATCAATAACATTCTTCTTGTAAAGCATCACAAGAACGAAGAAACAAGAATTCAATGGACTCAATTCTAATATGAAGGCAGTAGATGATCTAGTACTAGGTAGGGGATAGAGGAGGGAGTGGGTAGAGGGGAGAAGGGATGGGAATGGGGGGTTACGGTGTATGGCACACCTCTTGGGAGCGGGACACAATTCCAAGAAAGACTTTACCTAACAAATGCAATCAGTGTAACCTAATTCTATGTACCCTCAATGAATCCCAGACAACAAAAAGAAAAGAAACCCACAAGTCCTTTTATTTATTTTATATTTTTAGAGACAAGGTCTTGGTATATTGTCCATGCTAGAGTGCAGAGGTACAACTCCTGAGCTCTAGCAGTCCTCCCACTTTAGCCTCCCAATGTACTAGGATTATAGCAAAGAATCAACATTTCAGTCTTAAGCCCTAATTTGGAATGCAACGATTTTTAAGATTTTATAGATAGATATAAAAATAAATCCATATAGCAATTTATATCAGGCATATACTTATTCTAATCAAATATTCTGAAATATTCACTTTGGCTATGAAGAGATTATTAAAATATACTATGGCAATGTAGAAAATAAAATTCATCCCCAAGACATGGGGAGGAGAAGAAAACTCACATTTTTCCTGAGTCAATTATAGCCATGATTAAATTGTTACATTGACTATATTGAAACATATTGTATATTTGGAAACGGGTACAATTACCTTTGTTTTACATTAAAAAAATGAAATTCAGCATGATTATATAATTTGTCCAAGTCAAAGGCTCAACAAGAAGATTCAAACCCAAATCTGACTGCAATTCTTTGACTGCTTATGTTCTTCTTACTACCAACTGCAGGAAAAAAAATTCTAGAGGGTAAGGAGAATTCACAAAATTGATAGATTGTATATGTTATAATATAGCCTAAATAGCAGTAAAACTGAATGCCTAAAAGGCTCACATGGGGGGTAAATTAGAAGAGTTAGCAGCAGAGTATTAAAATGACCAATTCTAAATGAATTAGACGTTTTTCAATGACGAAAAACTAACCCACTAAAAAGGAAAAAACAATCATATTCTTTAATATGAATAAAAAAATCTTATTATTACTAAAAGTGTTTCAACATTTTCTTCCAATATGTCACTGATTCCATAATTACCTCTATTTGAAATCTAGCACTAAAATCAGAATGAGAGCTCCTGAATATCTTTCCAAGGATTCAATTTATCTAAATCCTCCACTTAAAAGCTGAGAAGGAGACAGATATTAACAAGTATGTCACTAATGAGAGCAGTTCTTTGTTATTGTTTTGTCATGCTTTGTTGTAGGGTTTTTGTTTGTTTTTTTTGAGACAGGGTCTCATTCTGTCACCCAGGTTAGAATGCAGTGGTGTCATAGCTTACTTCAACCTGGAATTCCTGGGCTCAGGGGATCTTCTTGCCTTAGCCTCTAGAGTAGCTGAGACCTCAGGCATACACCATCATGCTCAACTAATTCTTCTCTTTTTTACAGAGACAGGGTTTTGCTGTTTTGCTTAGGCTGGTCTTGAACTCTCGACCTCAAGTGATCCTCCTGCCTCGGCCTTCCAAAGTACAGGCATTAGAAGCATGAGTCACCATACTCAGCAGTTTTGTTGTGTGTTTTTATGAGGAAACTTGTCATTCTTTCACAAGGATCTATCCATTAATTCTTTCAAGAACTATTTACTTTAGTGGCTACCTTAAATCAGGCAGTGAGCCAAGAGCTAAAAACACAAATTCAGATAGAACTTAGCTACCACCTTTTAGACATTGTGAAGATGAAAGAACCAATGTTTGTACAAATAATTTTAGAACAGTTTTATACACTGCAAAAAACTACCTCGTGGGTCTCTCGTGCTCCAACATGACTTACTAGGTATGCCAAGAATGCAAGATTCTAACTGCTCTTTATGCTAGTCATTTCTCAAGGTTGTGTTTACAGCAAATAACCTTGGGGGATAAGATAATTTATTTCTTTAGTACAAAGAGCAGGCTTGTTTATTGCTTGGTAATGAAACAGCTGGTAAGGAAAATTTACTCTTCCTCACTTATGATGCAACCCACTGTGTACATAGCAACCACCCAGGCCTGTCATTTTATCCCTACTGGACAGAGGCAGGGAGAACGAATGAAGAACAAGCACGACACGCATGCTGCTACTATACCATAATAGAGTCCTTTGTTCCTGACCCAGAAGTCTCGTGTCTTCTGCAGCATCCATGAAAAAGGAACAGACTAATTTACTAGCTTGTATATTGAGTAAAAATCCTAGGTTCAACCGTTATTGTAATAGAAATATATGAGCTGCTGTGAATAATTTAAAAGCAGTTTTTTGTTGAATGAAGGTCAAATGAAGACATTTGAGTTGGGCCTGAATGATGAGTAGGAGAGGACTGGACACAAGACAAAGCAGAGCATTCAGACAGACCAAAATTTTATGCAAGAGAGATAAAGCACAGCATATTCAGAGAACTGCAACCTCGGCATCCCCTAAGAGGGATGTCCAGTCTTTTTTCTATTCTGCCATACATTGGAAGAGTGAGAGTTGTCTTGGGCCACATTTTAAATACACAAACACTATTGAGAGCTGATAAGCAAAGGGAAAAAGGTCCATGCATGCTTTTCCCAATATCTGACAGCACAGATAAGCAAAACAATTCTCAAATAATCTGCATGTGGCCCATGGGCCGCAGGTTGGACACCCCTGCAGGAGTGACAAATGATGAGCCTATTAAGGCAGGAAAGCCAGGTTACTCAGTGTCCTGTTTACTCCATCAGTGAGCTAGTCCATTTTTTCCTGCAGATGATTTGGAACCACTGAAGGATTTAAGGAAGAGAACGGTAACATGGTCAGATTTTCATTTTATAAGTCTCATTCTCAAGGCAATATAAAGATTGGCATGGAGCAATCTTGGGGTGGGAAATGACCCATCGAAGAACAGAGAATAAGTCTAAAAGTAGAGAAATCAGTTATTAGTTACCTATTTTAATGCTGTGAGAACTTGAACATGAACCTATAAAAGCCTAAATTGAGGCAGCTGCAATAGGAAATATAAGGAAGGACTGGATCACATGGACATATAGCTAATATACACACACACACACACACACACACACACAAAGAATGGGGGAGCAGCAGAATTAATCAAGCATCACATTCACACTGAAAGTTGCAGAGAGAAGTCAGAGCTAGGGACATATTTGAAATTTGGCAATAGATAAGGATGGGGTCCTCAAACTTTTTAAACAGGGGGCCAGTTCACTGTCCCTCAGACCATTGGATGGCTGGACTACAGGCCCCAGGATGAGTTGGCTGCTAAACAGGACAGGCAGTGGTGGCAAAAACACCCAGTGGGCCGGATAAATGTCCTAGGTGGGCCGCGTGTGGCCCACGGGCCGTAGTTTGAGGATGCCTGGCATAGACCAGCCTACCTATGGGAACATAAAGAAAAGAACAAGCATAGAACCTGGAGGAATACCTACCTTACGAAAAATATGTAACCATAGCAAAAGGTTATTAAAATGATGGTAATGGCCATTGAGATGAGGATACAAATGGTCTATAGAGCTGGGATCCTGGGTGATCCCTCACAGAGATGTTGACGCCATCCTGTCAGGAGAAGTTGGAGTGGAAAGAGGCTGTAAACCAGTGCCCACATCCTCAATGAATGTGGAGCTGATGAGCTGAAAGATGGAAGTGAGACCCAGTGGATAGCAATACTGTTGAATGGTGTGACTTTCCAAGGATGAGTGGTTTTGTGAAAACGAATAGATGTTTTCAGAAAGAGCTACAATACTGACACTATATCATTACTCTGTCACATGAGGAATATTAAAGAGTGAGTAGCCCACAGATCTTAAAGGAAATGGCGATCCTTAGAGAAGAGTCATATTTCAACTAAAGGAAATAAAAAGAAAGGAGTGGGGCAGCAGTAGCACACTCTGTTAAGGTACGATGCATACTATCTGGGTAAAGAGCACGTGTGCATCTCTAACTTTGACTCAGTCTGTACAAAAACAAAGTAAACAAAGCATGTGTATCCCTGATATTCTGATTAAAAAGAAAAAAAGAAAGAAAAACAAAACACTGCACACAAGGATGTTTGTTGACAATGAAACGTGACTTCCTGAGGGGCCAGTAAAAAGGGTCTGGTAAGAGATTGGTGGTCAGAGGTGTGGTCAGAGGACTACTGGGAAAGGAAATGTAGAACAACAACTGAATGAAAATGTATGTGAGTGAATAACTGAAAGGACTTGCATTTGTGGCACGCCAAAGGATGAAGACCTTTATAAGGCATGGATGTAATTAATAAGCCTCAAGTTTTCAAAGAAATCTTAGCAAATTTATACCCTGTGGTGCTCCTAACGTGTTAATTGGTTCTATCATCTTTCTTTAGTGCTACAGAGACATTAAGATAAATGAGTTGTATCTTTATCAGGGGAAGCCTGTGGCTAATTCATCAAACACTACAGGTTTGACATAAAACTCAGGTAACCCTCATAACTTCACAAGATAGGTACTTTTATAACTCTTGATCTACAAACTCTTGATCTGCTCACAGTTGTGAGCTGTTCAGAGTAGCACACCTTGTAAGTGGCACAGTTAAAAGCAATCTGGCTCTACACTTTGTGCTTTAAAATGTCAGCCTCCTACTTCTCTAGAAAATGCATGAACTAGGAGATCTTACATAGGGGAAATATGAAAATGAAGCATATGCTGTTGTTGGGGTAAAATTGAGGGCATCTTGTTAAGGTATCTAGGGCCCAGACAGATCAAAGCTCGCTGAATACCCACTGCTATCCACAGAAACAAAAACGCTTCTGACTCATGGAACGGATACCCCTGAACTGATGATTTCTTGAAGCAGTGGAAAGATACCTGATCAGAACAAACAAACAAACAAATAAACAAAAACCTAGTGGAGAGACACAAGAATACTATAGGAGCTAGCTCCCGCTAACTGGTAAATTCCTGCCCCTACAGATACTCTGTGCTACTGTGACATTCAATAGGCCTCTGCCCTACTAGACGCCCATCTCCCGTCTTCATCCTCTGGAAAGTTGCAGTCTTTGCTTTGCTTACCTGGTATAAATGTTTTTGGAAAAAAAAAAAAATGAGTGTCCAGAATCATGGAAAGATTATTTGTGTGTTTTTTCCCAAAGGCTTTCTAAAAAACTGAAGATAAACTTGTTCCCATCCTCTACTCTTTGTTTGGATATTGTGAATATTTTCCTTTCTGCTGCCAAGGTAGAAACACAGTTTTACCATGGAGTTGGAGTTACCTTCTTTATGACAGAAAGGGCTAAATAGGATGAGTAAACCTTATTTTCACTAAGTACAGTAGAAAAGATCTCGTCAGATGGGCTGGATTGCTTTTCAGAGAAGTACTTACGTGTTGTATGCATCAAGAGGAGCTAAACGTAAACACTTCCAAACACACCACTTTTGGAAAACTCAACAAAAGCATCCCCTTGTTAAACAGAAATAATTAGACATTCATTTCCTCTATCACTTTTATATAGTGTATTATACTAGACGATTTACAAGAGATTATAATTATCAAGCATTGGTGTATAAAAGCAGATGGGGCTACAAAAGATAATAGTTAAATGAGGCACATGTAATTTGACAACTCCTAATTGTTTATAGTTCAATGGTTATTTGTGATTACCTGTTATCTTGTTCTCATTCTGGTAAGATTACTATTCTATTCTTTGCCATTAAGTAGGAGGCTTCTTATTTCAAACAATGACATGAAAGACAAAAGATCATTTTTTTTTTTAAAAGGAATTTAGACATGACATGACTGAAAATGATCAAGAGATTACCTTGAAATCTTCATCATTTTGAGTTTGGTTACAGTAAACCCAGCTTTGTTTATTATGTCAATTATTTCTCCAGCCTTTGAGACTGCATCTGGTTTAATCAGGGCTAATGTTCTGTAAAGAAATAAAAAATAAAAAATGGGTTTGAAAATAAAAAAATACTTCAGCAGCTTTTATTTGTAATTCTCAAGCTGTGGCAATTCCCTTAATAATAATCCTAGACCATCAAACTTTGAAATTCATTATATATGAGTATATTAAAGATGCATTTTAAAAACTTATACTATGTAAGTTTACTATTTCTTCCAGCAAATCAAAATTAGATACCAAATTTGAATAAGAAATCAAAATTTTGATTTTTTTATCTACCCATATTAGAAAATACATATATTTAAATTTTCTATTTCTTAGAATACATTTTTTATAAAGGACTAATCTCTAAAAAGTTATACTAAAGATATTAATAGCTTGTTTTTGGTCTCTTAGATTTCCATATATGTATGCTATGTGGTCAGTTTGGCATTGATTTGGAAATAATTATAAATTCTTCTCTTGACTCTTTATTCATAGCATGGGTGATACATAAAGAAACAAATCTCTTCTCACTCAACAATGTATGAATAGCAAACTACATGCTAACTTTTAAAATTACCATTTTCCCCAAGAGGATACACTGGAGCAATGTACTTTCCCCCTCTGAAGTCTCAGAATTAATAGGAATTTGGAGATGGAGGTCATGTTAGTATTCTCATTTTACTGATAAGAAAAGCAGCCATGCCAAAGAGAGGAACCATGCCCTACGTCACCCGGCTGGTCAGTAGCACGTTCAGGACAAAACACCCAACTTATCAGACTCCCATGTCTATGCTCCTTCTACATCACGAATAATGTTACTATTATTCAAAAGGGGCATCATCACCAAATTCTCAAGAGTAATATTTGCAAATGCAAGATAAAACCCAGATTGCTTGGGGTAGTTCAGTTTATTTGAGAAGGAATTACTGCCACTCTCCCTTCTGTATTTCTAATTGTTCACACAACATTGGCCTTAATTCAAGACATCCAGAAAAGGAGAACAGTGGGCCTTTTCATCGTTAGCTTTGTTCACTGACAAGACAAACATAGATGAAAATATAACTTAAATGTTCTTACAATAACTTATGGCTGAAATTTAAAACTGTAAAGTACAAAAGAAATCATTCATCTTACTCTGTTTATTACAGATTATACCAGATAATCTTTTTCTTTAATTTGAAACAGATGAGTTACTTACATTACTTTATATTATGTGGCATCATAGAAAAAAATGTACAGTTAAAACATTTTTAGTTTACATTATTTAAATATCACTAGCCAAACTGATCTATAAATTATCCATGCTATACTCTAAAAGAACAGTTCATTAACTATAGCTCTTAAAGAAAATATAAAACATAGTAGCAATCATCAGTTTCTGGAAACAAGATGCAATGTGAAAAGTCCAAAGCTAGGCCAGGTGTGGAGGCTCATGCCTGTAATCCTAGCAATCTGGGAGGCCAAGATGGGTGGATTACTTGAGCTCAGGAGTTTGAGACCATCCTGACCAAGAGTGAGACCCCGTGTCTCTAAAACCTAGCCAGGCACTGTGGCAGGTGCCTATAGTCCCAGCTACTTGGGAGGCAAAAGGATCCCTTGAGCCTGAGAGTTTGATATTTCTGTGAGCTGTGATGCCACAGCACTCTACTGAGGATGATAAAAGTGAAACTCTGTCAGAAAGAAAGAAAGAAAGAAAGAAAGAAAGAAAGAAAGAAAGAAAGAAAGAAAGA